CGTAATACTTCCTCTCCAGAATGCGATCAAACAGCTCTCCGCCTTCGCACAACTCCATGATAATGTGCACTTCCTGGTAAAGCGAGAGGGTGGGGATATGGGGATGGGGGCAAGGAATGGAGGGGGAACGGGAGGAGAGAGGGAAAGGGTAGGGAATGTACGGAGAGGGAGAGAATGAGAAGGCCTGCACCTCCATCACCGACCAAATCACCTTGGCTGCTCTCACGGGGTAATTGCGCTCAAGGATACGGTCGAACAGCTCACCCTTCACATAATCTCATGTTGCCTAATCGTTTGTTTAGAAACTGTACTTTTACTCTTTATGCCTTGTTTGTGACTACATGCAAGTACACACCTTTTCATCTTCAATGGTCTCGATAATGGAGACGACATGGGGGTGTCCTCGAAGGGTCTCGAGAACATGCACCTCCCTCTTTACATCATCCACGTCATCCCAGCACTGCAGGCGAAGTGGGGTTCGGAAAGGATCATAAATTTAGAATCCGGGATAATGTAGAACGCGCCTCGGGACCTCCCTTCTCCGCTTCACCTCTCCGCCCCTCACCTATCCGCTCCCCCCTGCGACTCATCCCTCCTCCCTCTCACCTCATGCGCTCCCTTCCACCTTGCCACCCATTCACTCTTTGCTGCCCTATATCTTGCCGCCCAAACACCTCTGCCCCACATGCTACTCAGCTTACGCGTGATTTGACCCTCACATGATCCGCGTCAGCACCAACACCCTACTTTAGCCTCGTCAAAACGTACCTCGAGCTTAGCCTTGGTGATTGTCTTGCACGCGTATCGCTCGCCCGTTTCCAGATTCTCGCACACGTGAATCACGCCGAAGTTCCCCCGCCCCAGCTCCTTCGGCGACATCTTGTATTTATCCTCCAAATCCTGATACGGTTTCCCCAAAACATTCGAGTTCGACGGACCGAGAACTTCGGGTGTTTCCTCTTCCACCTCGTAATCCCCGTCCTCTCTGTAATACTCGCTCACTTGCGGCGTTCTTAGCGGGACACCGGAAACGATTCTAGAAGCACCTTTTCGCGGGGATTGCAAGGGAGTCCCCGCATTCCAGTTGCTGAACATGCTCTGAATCTCCGCCAATTTCGCCTGATCCCGCTCGCTTTGCGCCGCTACGGTACGCGGGCTTGCGCAAAGCGACCCCCCTGGAGTCATCGATTTCCGCGAGCCTCCCCCTCCACCTTGCATGTACGGGGATGCAAATCCCCCCGCGCCCGGGGGATTTCGGGGACTCGCGTAAGGGCTACCGTACGGGCTAGTACTTGGAAGATTCACTTTCAGGCCGCCTTTCAAACTAACCACTCCGCCTTTCCCTCCATACCCTCCAGCTCCTCCTCCGCCGCCGCCACCGCCACCGCCGCCAACACCGCCTCCTAATCGCGACATGCTTCCGCGCGGTCCGGAAAGCAGCTGCGAGTTCGCGCCGCCGCCGCCGCCGGCAGCGCTGGGCCCCAGAGGTGACGCGCCCGGTCCGGCACGCGGATCAGGAACGACGTTCGGTACGACGGGGACGCTAGAGGAACGGCGATGGCCCTTCCCCTTCGCAGGCGGTCCGGACGACGGTGATCCGCCGCCAGCGACGCCGCCGCCGAACCAGGACGCAAGGCCGCCGCCGCCGCCGCCGCCGGAACTGTTGCCCGCCGTTTGTTGCGGAGATGCGCCACCGCTAGACGCGGTCGTGTGCGTCGCACTGCTTCCGCCGTGACCTGCGCCGCCAAACCAGGACAGCATTCCGCCGCTACTCGAAGGCGGAGTCACCGGAGACAATTGCGGGGAAGTCTGTGACGAGTTCGTCTTTGCCGCACCTAGTCCCGAGCCTTTGTCGAACCAATTCGTCTTAGGACTTTGGGCTGGCACAGCCTGGTGCGGCGAGACCTGGTGCGAGCTATCGTGGGAGTTTTCCGAACCGGCTGCCGAGCCTGTAGGCGTGATGGCGGTCCCGGCACCGAACCAAGAGAGGATAGGGCTTGTCGCACCACCGGCAGGCGGCGATTTCGCGCTCGACTGGGGAATGCTGAGAGGCGTAGGGGACTTAGAGGCCGCAGTATTCAAAGGTTGCAGGTCACTGTTAGTCTGCTTCTGGCGTCGCGACCACAACCCGCCCCACCCGCCGCTGCTACCATGACCGTCCGATTCAGCCGCGCCCTTTCCCCCTGCCGTCGATTTCGTAGTGGAACGTTGATCGGCGCTCCCACCCTTGTATTCCTCTTCTGCGGACATATGCGGCACCCCGGTTCCACCCTGCGACGCGGAGGTCCCTTGCGAATCGCCCTCCGCGGCACTGTAATCCACGTCAGCCCAATCCCCCGGCGAGCCCGAAGAAGCGCCGCCATGTGACGCCCTACCCTGCGCCTGCTGCGTCTGTGCTGACGTGGCTCTGCCAGTTCCCGGGCCTGAACCATATTGCTCCTGCCCCGTCGCTCCCGCCCACTCCTGCGATCCTTGTAACGGCGACGACTGTCGCAGGCGACTGCTGGAGTTTTGTTGGGGGTCTTGCGAGTTTCGCGAAAAGGTCCCGACGGGAGACTTAACAGGAGAGCCAGAGGCCCCACTTGACGGGCTGCTCGGGGAAAATGCCGAAAACGAAAAATCTTCGGATCGAATGCGACGATGGCGCGGGCCGTTGGGTTTGGGAGGCCGGCTGACTTCGAGCGGCCGCACATGCGGCACGCCGGCAACTCTACCAGTCGGGAGCGGCGACTTGGACCGTCGCCGTTCCGAGCCGGGAATTCCGCCTTGACTTGCGGGGCCGGAGGGCGCAGGGGAACGGTATGCAGGGGGCATATGCTGGTGCTGCTGCTGCTGGTCGTGGTAATTATTGAACTGTTTCTGCTCGTCCTGGTATTTCTGCGGCTGCTGCTGCTGCTGACGTGGCCTGTGAAGCGGGGCTACATTTTGCATTCTCGACGTCGCCTCGTCGTCTCTCGAGCCGCTTTGAGCTCCATAATCGTCATTTCTGTTTTCAAACGAGAGCGACGATGCCCTGTCTTTCTGCTGCGGCGCGCCGCTGCCATGGCCTTGAGTGTTACTGTGTCGGTTGCGCGCATAGTGGGAGCCTGGCGACTGAATAGATTCTTCGCTGTGCGACGACGTTTCCTCCTGGATGCTCCAGAACTCCATCCCGCCCGCGCCTTGCGCGGTGCTGCCGTCGCCACCGCCGCCGCCATTTCTACCAGCAGTCCCATTCGGGGTTATTACGAGCGATGGGTCCAGCTGAAACCCGTCGGAATGGCTTCGCCTGTGTCCTGGCTGCTTCATCCGTGAGGGACGCGGCGGCACGGACGACGCGCTCGCCATGGAGTCCGCGCCGCCTGCGAGGGAATAAGACGCGGCCGATTCAGAAAGATTATGCAACGACGAAGGCAGGTTGTGAGAAGGCCCGAGCAGTGTCGAGGAGGGCGATTCGAAGTTGAAAGGTTTGCGATGGGTCGAATGGTTTTGGTAGCCATTTTGACTGTTGCTAGGGTTGAAGCTGGGTGGTTGGGGAAAAGACCTGGAATCGTCAACCATCACTTCCATGGGGCGAGAAAACGCTGCTCAAGAGGGTGTGAGTGTGGTTACAGATGCGTGCGAGAGGTTTTTCAGAAACGAATGTTGCACGAACAAATAGGAAGGGACGAGGCGAAACGAGGTGAGAGTGAGCATTTGCACTGTGCCCCTAAAATACGAAACGTGCTTCCTGAAGGTGAGTTGGTTACGGAACTGTTCGGGCGTCCGTCCGAGCCGAGCGGCCGAACCAGACGTTTCCAGCTCGTTGTTGCCCTTTCGTTTCACCAGCTTTGGTAAATTCCCGCTGGACCAGCTCATTCACTTGTCCCGAAGCTAGAGGTTGGGTTCAAACCAGCTAAGCTCTGGTTGGTGGGCGAGGCTTGTGAGCAAGGCTCGGTAGTGCAGAATCAACGCGTTGGCGCAAGAGGGGCCCTATGGATTTTCAGGATCGCATCAGCCATATCTCATAATTGAGGACAGCCTGAAGCTTGGGAATCTGACGGACTCCCGTAGTTGAAGTCCTAACGCTTAACCAAACAAAACGTCACTTACGCTGTCATATGAGCGAATGGCAACTTGTCGCTTAATCGAATTCACTGCAAGTATAATAAACATTAGTGGAAATGCTTGTCGCATTCTCTGGTGGTGCAGGACCAAATCCTTCAAAGCAAACATTTTTTTCTGAAAGCCAGGCTGTTCCCTGTGGGACATTGGTGAGCGATTTCGTCTTGGGATGCACAGCTCTCGCTGCTGCCCTTCCAGCCCTCACCTCACCATAGCACTGCCCTCCAAATTCGCTGCTTCGGTACAACCAATCCGCTAACGTTTGAATGCACGTACATAGCCTGCTGTCGGATTTTGAAGTCGAATGAGCAACAATATGCTTGTGAAATTGGAAATTAGCAAACAGCTAAAGACAATTGCACTTTCTGGTGAGCGTTTTCCGCTAGTGGGTGAGGCTGCATTCTTAGAAGTTCCGCTATCAGTGTCGTCCATTAGTGGCTGACACAAATTACCATCAGCTACCCTGTCGCACGCCCATCTTTTGAACGTCGCAGATGCAGTCGCTTTCGTCGCTGACCAATACCACGAAGCCAAATGTCGCACAGAGCCCCGCCGGGACCCTGGGAGTGTTACTGACCGTCTCTAGTTCTCTTGGGTTCCGCAAATCAAGCAAACCGCCGGAAACTTTGCGAGCGGCACCAGGCAAGAGGTATGCTACAGGAAGATCTCCTCGGGTTCTTATTGGTCGGTTCCAGGCCAGTATCGCGCAGAATGCGGAGACAGGTTTTAGTGAGCAACTAGCGGGTAGCGCGATCGGGGACAGGGGGAGACAGCGGAAAGAACGGCGGAGCAGCAGCAGCAGCACCGGAGGAAGCGGCAACGGGGATGGTGGGGGTGGTGGCAGCAACCGCAGCAGCAGCAGTCGCAAGAGCAAGGCGGCAAGACGCCAAAAACCGCTTGATCACAGTGACGTCAGCATGCCGCCCAGCAATGACGACTTGCGCAGCTGGGCGGCGCTGGACGGCAAGCGGCTGATGAACGTCCTATCGTATCGCGCCACGTTGGCAGAACTACTGGCCGTGGTGAAAGCACACAGAGAGAATGGGGAGGAGATGAGAGGGAGAGTGGGAGGCGGTGTGCGGGAGGATAGAAGAGGGGAGGAGAGATGGGGAGAGGGGAAAGAAGGAGGGGAGGGAAGGGAAGAGGAAAGTGTGGGGGAGGGTAAAGTGGGGGAGGGTGGAGGGGGAGAGGATAGAGGGGAGGAGGGAAATGTTTTTTCTAAGCGAGTGAAGGGCCAAAAGGATGGGAAGGCAAGCACCGGTTTGTCCCCTGTACACATCTGCACCGCATTCCACCGCATTGCCAAGCATGCCAAGCGCATGGGCGGCGGGCGGCGTCTCGTGGACCGGCTGAAGGAGGACGAAACGGTCCGGTGGCTTGGGCGGCAGGTGGAGGCGCTGGCAAAGGGCGGCAGACTGAAGGGTCAAGCTTTGGCCAACGTGGCATGGTGAGTGAGTAAGTGGGTGGGCAAGTGGGCGGGTTGGATGGCGGCATTGGCTAACGTGGCATGGTGAGGATGTGGGTGGGCTTGGGTGGGTGGGTGAATGGGTGGGTAGGATGGTGGGCGAGTGTGTGGGTGCTGGTGTGAGTTCAGTTCGGGCACGAGGCGTTGTGCACTGTGTAAGTCTCCTGAGCGCTCGTTGCATCTTTCATTAACTCCCAACCTATCTTCCACTACTGCTGGCAAGGCCCTGTTTACGTGGTTCAGGGTTCAAGGTTTTGGACGTGTAGTATCAAGGTTTCGGGGTTTTACTCGGGGTTTGGAGCTGAGAAGATTTGAACCTTTGACCCCATATTGACCCCAATGGGTTTCCCTGGAGTTCAGGACTCGGCCAGAGCTGGGGCACAGGCCACTGCTGCTGCTGCATGCTGTTATGAAATGCGACTCGTTATTGCCTCGCAACTCCCTCATTGACTGATGGTCTCCACCCCCGTTGACCCCCCCGTTGACCCTCGTTGACCTGCGTTGACTCCCTTGATTTAGGGCACAGGCAGAGCTGGGGCATGGCCCACCATCCTGTTGAACATCATCATGAGATGTGCCATGGTTACCACCCCTGTTGACCCATGTTGACCCCTGTTGACTCCCGTTGACCTTCTCTCAGGGCGCAGGCAGAGCTGGGGCACGGCCCACCGTCCCTGCTAAACACTGTCATGGCAGCATCGCTCGCGCAGATCAAATCCTTCCAGCCGCTGGAAGTGGCCATTCTGGTACGTGTGGGTTTCTGTCTCTGTGTGCATTTGTCTCCAGCATATTTGTGTATGTAAACGTATACTTATGCATATATGTATATATATGATGTTGATGCATACATACATGTATACATACATAAGTACATGTATACTTATTTGCATACACTTGTCAACAACTCTTTGTCCCCTCCCACCGTTTGATGCATGCCCTAGGCTCCACTGCCGGCCTGCCAGCTGTCAACGCCAGCCTGTCAGCCTGTCAGACTCTCACCTGAGAATCTTTCAAGTGGTTATCAACACCCCTGTTCCTCCTCCCCTTTCAGATGCATGCACTAGGTTCCACCGCCGGCCTGCCAGCTGTCAACGCCAGCCTGGCGCGGGACCTGCTTGGGCGGCTGACGTGGGAGCACGTGATTGGCTCGCTGCACTGCTTCCAGCCGCGCCATGTTAAGGAGATCCTGTGGTACTGTTCACACTGCACTGTTTCACGTAGTACTGTTTCTCATAACACTGTTCACACTGCACTGCTTCACATGACACTGTTCATATTGCACCGGAAGTGGGTGATAGCTGTTTGCACTGCTACCAGTAACCAGACACCTTCCACCTCCCCCTATGGCATTGCAGGGCCCACGCGCGGGTGAGGTGGCACTCGCACCTGCTCTTCTGCACCCATACCCGCTCCTTTTCTCCTGCTCTTTCCCCCCTCCCACCCCCTCTCCACCTTCTCCCCCCATGGTATCATCCCAGGGCCCACGCGCGGGTGAGGTGGCACTCGCACCTGCTCTTCTGCACCCATACCCGCTCCTCCCCCTTGGACCTGGTTTTTGAGAATTCTTAAAAACCAGCTCGTTGCACTCGCACCTGCTCTTCGGCACCGTGCCCGCTCCTCCCCCTTCGATCGACCCCAGAAACCCCCCTCCCCCCACACCCTCCCCCCCGCACCCCCTTCCCCCATGCCATTGCAGGGCCCACGCGCGGGTGGAACTGCTGCACTCACACCTGCGCTCCGTGCCCACCCGTACCACCTCTTCTTCCCTCAAACCCCTCCCCACCGCACCCCCTTTCCCTCTTTACCCAAACCCCTCCCCACTGCGGCCCCTTCCCCTCTTCCCACTCCATTGCAGGGCCCACGCGCGGGTGGGGCTGCACTCGCACCTGCTCTTCCGCGAGGCGGCAAAGCTTGTCCTTTCTGACATGAGCAGCTACAGTGCTCCGCAGCTCGCCATCATCGCATGGTACAGCATGGCCTGGCATGATGTGGTATGGTGTGGCATGGTGTGACATGGTGTGAGATGGTGTGACATGGTGTGACATGGTGTGATATGGTGTGAAATGGTGTGACATGGTGTGGCATGATGCGCGGCATGGTGTGGCACGGTGTGGCACGGTGTCGCATGGTCAACGAGTCATGTGCCTCCATGTGTATCAGTCAATCCATTTCTTCTCAGCCATTGCATTTGCTCATTCCTATGCCTCACCTCCCCACTTCCCCTCGTCCCCTCTTCTTCTCTCTCCCCTCTCCCATTCTCGCAGGTCCTTTGCCAAGCTCCACCATTCAGACGACTCTCTCTTTCGCGCACTTGCTGCCTGGGCCGAGAGCAACGCTCCTGCATTCGCGTCTCAAGACACCTCCAACATGCTCTGGTGAGCCGCCCTCTCTTCGTCTAGTGTGCTGCCCTCTCTCCCTCGTCTCACCCTTTGCTCGTGTAAGCAGAGAGCAACGCGCCAGCGTTCTCAAGACACCTCCAACATGCTCTGGTAAGTGTGTCCGCCTCTCTCCCCCCTCTCAGCCCTGGCTGCCTGGGCCGAGAGCAACGCGCCTGCGTTCGCGTCTCAAGACATCTCCAGCATGCTCTGGTTAGCTTTCCTCTCTTCTTCGCATGACCTGTGAGCCACCCTCTCCGCTTCTCAACGGGTTTTCCAAGCTGCATCATTCAGAAAATCCTTTCTTCTGTCCGTGCGCTGGCTTGCTAGGCTTAGGCAGAAACGCTTCTGCATTCGCATCTCAAGACAACTCCATGGTTCTCTGCTCTGCTGAGCCGCCCTCTGTAGACTAATCTAGATCAAATCACATTCTCTAATCTAGTGATCTGCCTACTCTTCTTCTCGCCCTTTGCTCTCTGTTCTGTGCAGCGCACAATACACCTGACTCTCCTCTCCTCCGCCCCTCTCCCTTTGTTCAAATTCCCCCGACCTGCTCAGGGCAACTGCTCCTCTCAGGACATTCCTAACGTGTTTGCACTCTTTGTGCCGCGTGTAGTTAGATGCTCCATCCCCCCCCATCTCCCCACTCCTACCCCCAACCCCCCTCGCTCCTCTCCCCTCTCTCGTTCCCTCTCTCCCCATCCCCATCGCCCTCTCTCAGGGCATTTGCTCGTCTCAGCGTGAATTGAGAAGTCTCAAAACACTTCTTTAATCAACTCCCACTCTAAATCCCCCTCGCTCCTCTCCCCTCTCTCGTTCCCTCTCTCCCCATCCCCATCGCCCTCTCTCAGGGAATCTGCTCGTCTCAACGTGAACTCCCCAAACATGTTTGGGGTTTAGGGTTTAGGGTCATAAGACCCTCCCTCACCCCCTCTCCCTCCTATATTTCCCTCACCCCTTCACTTCCCCGTTACCCACTCAGGGCATTTGCGCGCCTCAATGTGAATGCTCCAAGCGTGTTTGCACTCTTTGTACCACGAGTGATCGGATCGATACAAGAACACTCTACGCAGTCACTCTCCAACATCGCATGGTACAGTGACGTCTTACCAGTATTGCGTTGTACAGTATTATGTTATTGTTCTGCGTACAGTAGTATATGGATAGAATTGGTTTGGTTCTATTACATAAGAATATTGCATAGGTTTGGTTCATGTCGATGCTGCATCGCACACTACTCTTTTATTTTTTCCTGGTCAAGGACTGTGCTATTGATTTCCTTTCCCATCCTACTCCCCCCACTCCATAGGGCCTATGCCACAGCAGGGCATCACAGGCATCAGCTGGTAGAGACAGTGGGGGAGGAGAGCACGAGGTTATGGATGGGTGCACCTCACTAGACCAATTCAATGTCTTATCCCGTTATCCCATGCCTCACTGAACCTTCTTTTCAGGGCCTATGCCACAGCAGGGCATCGCAGGCATCAGCTGCTAGAGACAGTGGGGGAGGAGAGCACGAGGTTATGGGTGGGTGCACCTCACTAGACCAATTCAATGTCTTATCCCGTTATCCCATGCCTCACTGAACCTTCTTTTCAGGGCCTATGCCACAGCAGGGCATCGCAGGCATCAGCTGCTAGAGACAGTGGGGGAGGAGAGCACGAGGTGAATCATGTGTGTGTGCGTGCTGCACCTAGAAAAGCACTCCTTCATTTACCTTTTCCCCCTCTCTTAACAGGGCATACGCCACAGCAGCAGTCCACCAAAACCAGCTGCTGCTAAAGGCTGTGGTTGAGGAGAGCACGCGGCAAATCGTGAGTGCACCGCACCTTACCACACAACTTGTTCCTCCCTTTCCCCATCCCGTCCTCCCATCCGGGGCGTACGCCACAGCAGGCCACCGCAACCAGCCGCTGCTAAAGGCTGTGGGGGAGGAGAGCAACTTTTTGAGTCGACTAAAATATCGACTCATCACCGCAACCAGCCGCTGCTAAAGGCTGTGGGGGAGCAACCAACCGCTGCTAAAGGCTGTGGGGGAGCAACCAACCGCCAGAGCAACGCTCACCGCACCTCAAACGATCTCACCCCTTCTTCCCTTCCCTCCCCCAATCAGGGCGTACGTCACAGCAGGCCACCGCAGCCAGCAGCTGCTAGAGGGGGCAGTGGGGGAAGAGAGCACGCGACGAATGGACCATCACACCCCATTTTCCTCCCCCATCCCCTCTTTTTCCCTTGCCTTTGCCCCTCCTCCAATCAGGGCGTACGCCACAGCAGGCCACCGCAGCCAGCAACTATTAGAGGCATTGGGGGAGGAGAGCACGCGGCGAATTGTGGGCGGTACACTGGAGAGGGAGGCTGTATCTGGGCAGGCTGTAGCCAACATCGCATGGTACGGTGCGGTGCTGTGCGGTGCTGCATGGCGTGGTGGAGTATGGTCCTGTCCTGTGCTTGTGTGTGGTACGGTGCTGTGTGGGGTGGATGGTGGGTTTAGAGGCAGTGGGGGTGGAGAGCACGAGGCGATTCGTGGGCAGCAAACTGGAGAGGGAGGCTGTGTCTGGGCAGGCTGTTGCCAACATTGCATGGTACAGTGCGGTGCTGTGAGGTGTGCTGCATCTGTTGCCAACATTGCATGGGAATTGTCCACCACTGGCAGCACAGGAAAGCAGCAGCACAACAACTTTCTCCATCTGTGCATGTTCTCTTCTTAACTTTCCATTTCACCCGCCCATCCCTCTGCTTCCTCTCAAGGTGGATGATGAGTCGACTCAAAAAAACCCCATTTCACCACCCCCCATCCCCCCACCCTTCTGCTTACCCTCCTGAACCTCCTCCGTCTCCTCTGTCTTGTTGCTCTCCTCCCTCTTCCTTCTGCTCCCTCTGCTCCTGCTCCTGCTCCTGCTCCTTATCTCTTTCTCCCCCTCCCCTTTCTTCTCCCCTCCCCATTCACATCTGTTTCTCTCAGAGAATTCGCAACACAGAGTCACGACGACGTCCCTTTTTTCCAACAACCCGTCTCAACACTATCCACGTTTCTCTCTTCTTTACTGCCCCCTCCCTCCCCCTCCCTCCCCCTCCCTCTCCCCCCCGTCCCCCGCTCCCCTGCCTTTCTGCACCTCTCCCACAGGGCATTAGCAACGCAGAGTCACTACGACGTCGCCTTTTTCTCTGCCGCTGCCGCCCACGCCACCCGCTACATGCCAAGATACGCCGGCCGCACCATTGCTTGCCTGGCGTTCGCCTTTGCTCTGATTGGCCACACGGCCCCTCCTCTCTTCCTGCGTGTTGAATCTGAGGTGGGTGGTGGTGATTTCTCTCCTGCTCTGGGGTCTGGGCAGCTGTGGTCTGATGCCCTGCATGTCGAGTCTGAGGTGGGTGGTGGTGATTTCTCTCCTGCTCTGGGATCTGGGCAGCTGTGGTCTGGTGCCCTGCGTGTCGAGTCTGAGGTGGGTGGTGGTGATTTCTCTCCTGCTCTGGGGTCTGGGCAGCTGTGGTCTGATGCCCTGCATGTCGAGTCTGAGGTGGGTGGTGGTGATTTCTCTCCTGCTCTGGGATCTGGGCAGCTGTGGTCTGGTCTGGTGCCCTGCGTGTTGAGTCTGAGGTGGGTGGTGGTTTTTTCCCTGCTCTTGGCTGCTATGGTTTGGTGCCCTGCTTGTCTCTGCTGCTCTACTGGTCCGTGCAATGAGGTACCTGCTAAGAGAGCTAGAGGAGGACCTACGTATCGCACTGATGAAGGCTCGTTAGGGGAAGCCCTTTCAGCCAAAACATGTGTGTCCTGTTGTAGTTGTTGTTAACGAGAAGCGCTCCAGCTTCACAAGCTCTCGGTGATTAGCTAGTGTTTAGCTTTTACACACTGTCTTTTCCTACTTGCTTAAACCTACTCCTACGCAAGTGCTGCTCACAGGAAGATGTCCCAAGATCTACTGGTCAGTGCAATGTGTTACCTGCTAAAAGACCTCAGCAAGCTTACTGCGGCTTCACAAGCTTAAGCTTGCTGCGGTTCGAATCCTTTCAATTCTGCACAGAAAGATGTCCCAAGATCTACTGGCCAGTGCAATGTGTTACCTGCTAAGAGACCTAGAGGAGGACCTACGTACCCGCCAAGCTCTCTTGCTCCGCCCCTCCCACCAATTCACTGCCGCTGATCTCTTATGCTCCCTCTGCTCTCCTCTCCTCTCCTCTCCTCTCCTCTCCTCTCCTTTGCTCCAATCCATCTCGTCTCCTTTGCTCTCATCCATCCCTCCTCCTCTCCTCTCTCCTCTTGTGCAGATCATCCGTCGCACCACCCACCTCCTCTCGGACTCGCCTCCCCTGTTCTCTCGCCCCCTTATTCAGATCATCCGTCGTCTGGCCATGCAGGCAGGCGAGCAGGAGTTTGGCGGGTCATGCTCGCATGGGCTTTAGTGCCCCCCCCTCCCCCCCCCCCCCCCCGTCCCACCTCTCCTCCCGTCTCCTGTTCTCTTGTCCCTGTGTGCAGATCATCCGTCGTTTGGCACTCCGGTCAGGAGAGCAGGAGTTTGGGCGCCAGGCGCTGGTGATGCTCGCATGGGCACTCGTGGTGCATGGGCAAACCGACTCACCCTCTGCTGCTCCTGCTCCGCCTGCCGCCGCTGCTCCTTCTTCTGCTGCTCCTCCCATCACCAGCATCGCCACCACCACCAACTCCCCATCCACTCTCCCCTCCTCCTCGTCCCCCTCCTCCTCTGCCTCTCTCAGCCCAGCTCTCCCCATCCTGCGGCACCACCTGCTCTCCCTCACCACCGACCTCACCTCCTCTGAGCTCTGCCAACTTTATCAGGTGAGACGAAGAACATGCATATCCACTCACAAGCACACACAGAAACACCACCTAACAACCGCCTCTTTCAGCCCAGCTCTCCCCATCCTGCGTCACCACCTGCTCCCTCACCACCGACCTCACCTCTAATGAGCTCTGCCAGCTGTATCAGGTGGGCACAAGCACGTGCGCTGAACCAGGTGGGCTGTGGCACACGCACATATCATCGCTCTCTCCCCATCCTGCGTCACCACCTGCTCTCTCTCACCAGCGACCTCACCTCTAATGAGCTCTGCCAGCTGTACCAGGTGGGGTTAAAGCGCACACATGCACACATACGGTATCACGGGCGTACCTGTCACACGCGCACATGACCTCTCCTGCTCCCTCTCCAGCGAGCACACGCCCACATGACCTCACCTCACATCCAGGTGGGCTGTAGCAGGTGGGCTGTAGCAGGTGGGCTGTACCAGGTGGGCTCATTTGGATCTCACTCCCCCCCCCCGCTCGCCCACTCCCTTGAGACAGGTCGACCTGGCCACGCAGCTGGAAGCACCGGAGCACAGCACTCGCCTGGTGGAGGGCGGCATGGGCGTTAGGGGGCACGCTGGGAGGAGTGCTCTCCCCAGCATTGCCCCCTCTCCCTCCCTGTCTCCTTCCTCCCTTGATGTAGGTCAATCTAGCCACCCAGCTGGAAGCACCGGAGCACAGCACTCGCCTGGTGGCGGGCGGCATGGGCGCCATGGGGCAGGCTGGGAGGAGCACGAGTGGCAGTGGGAGCGGTGCTCTCCTCCCCTTTTTCTCTCCTGCCATGAGCCTGTTGCCCTCCCTCCCTACCTCCCTCCCTTTCTCCTTCCCTCCCTTGCAGGTCGACCTACCCACCCAGCTAGAGGCACTGGAGCACAACACTCGCCTGGTGGAGGGCGGGGTGGGCGTTAGGGGGCACGCTGGGAGGAGTGCTCTCCCCAGCATTGCCCCCTCTCCCTCCCTCGTCTGCTTCCCTCCCTTGAGACAGGTCGATCTGGCCACCCAGCTAGAGGCACCGGAGCACAGCACTCGCCTGGTGGCGGGCGGCATGGGCGTTATGGGGCACGCTGGGAGCAGTCCGCTCTCCCCTTCCCTCCCTCCCCCCAATGAGTCATGCTGGCAGCAGTGCCCTGCCCTGTATTCCTCACTTTCTCAGGTCGACCTGGCCACGCAGCTGGAGGCACCGGAGCACAACACTCGCCTGGTGAGAGGTGGCATGGGCGCCATGAGGGATGCTGGGAGGAATGCCCTGTATTCCTCACTCACTCCCTCCTCCTTCACCCTCCCTCACTCACAGGTCGACCTGGCCACCCAGCTGGAAGCACCGGAGCACAACACTCGCCTGGTGGAGGGCGGCATGGGCGTTATGGGGCACGCTGGGCGGAGCACGAGTGGCAGTGGGAGCGAGGGAGATGGGGAGTGGGGGGAGCAGGATCAGGAGAGCCAAGGGGAGGAGGAGGAAGAGAGGGACGAGTCGTATTGGTATTTGCAGCACCTGTGGCTGTCGGGGTTTGTGCGGCAACAGGCAAAGGTGGGGTGGTGTGGGGGAAGAGTGGAAACAGGGAGTGGGGCTGTTCTTATTTTCAGACGTCTCAAAAAATCGCTTTTATCATGTGGCTCTTCTTATTTTGAGACGTCTCAAAATATCACTTTTAGCTAAGGTGACTTCACATTTATTCCAGAATCCAGATGCACCGAAACTCAAACCAACCCCCCGCACGCCTTCATTCTTGGGTGCTTCTCCCACCACAGGCGTGCTGGGAGGCGGCTCACGAGGAGAAGGTACAGCTGAGCTGATGTCCATGTGGTGTGGGCTTCAGTGGTACATCAGCTGCACCCTATGCACCACATGCACCTTCAATCAACCCCCTGTGCACACACCTTCATTCTTGTGTGCTGCCCCCTACCACAGGCGTGCTGAGAGGTGGCTCACGAGGAGAAGGTACAGCTGAGCTGATGTCCATGTGGTGTGGGCTTCAACGGGACATCAGCTGCGCCCTGCACCACATGCACCTCCCAACATCGATCCCCCCCGCGCCCTATGTGTGTATACCTACCACAGGCGTGCTGGGAGGCGGCTCACGAGGAGGAGAAGGTACAGGTGTCAGGGTTGCAGAGAGACATCAGCTGCGCCCTGCACCAGATGCACCTCCCCCACACCCTCGAGTACCGAGACGGCGACTACAGCATCGACCTCGCCCTCCTCCTGCCTCTCGCCGCAACAGAATCTACGGGGAGTGACTCTACGAGGAGTGATCATAGGAGAAGGGAACGGCGTGTTCTCAAGATAGCAGTGGAGGCTGACGGGCCGTCACACTTCACTATAAGCACGTCTGGAATGACAACTGAGCAGCAGCATCAGCAGCACTCTCAGCAGCACCCCCATCAGCACAATCAGCAGCAGCAGCATGTGCCGCTGGGTCCCACTCGCCTCAAGGCCAGGCTGCTGCGCTGCCGAGGCTGGCAGGTGGTTCAGGTGAGTCCCTCTGTCGGCTTCAGGTGCTTCAGGTGAGTCCCTCTGTGGGCTTCAGGTGGCTCAGATGTCTTTTGGTGCCAGGTGGTTCAGGTGAGGTTTCAGGTTGTAGGATAAAAGTATTATATGTTAATATCAAAATATATGAAAATCGGGCCTTTCTCTCTCATCTCTTTCGCTGCTCAACTCCCCTTTCTCCTCTCCTGCTCCTCTCCTGCTCCTCTCCTGTTCCTCTCCTTGTGCCTTAATTTGAGATGCCTTTTTTTACTGAGCGAGTTTAAGTTCAATCGAATCTCCTACCTCCCTCCACCGCTCCCCACCGCGGCAGATACCTTTCTTTGAATGGGAGTGCCTGTCGGACCTCCACCAGAAGCAGCAGAGACTTGAGTCGACTCAAACGTCTCCTACCTCCCTCCACCACTCTCCACCGCAGATACCTTTCTTTGAATGGGAGTGCCTGTCGGACCTCCACCAAAAGCAGACGTATCTCGCCGCCCGTCTCGGGCCCCTGGCCATGCAGCTGGCACGTGAAGCAGAAGCAGCGGATGCTGACGTGGCACAGGAAGAGGCTGGTAGGACTGGGGAAGGTAGAACGGAGGAACGTAGAATTGAGGAGGGTGGAAGTGGGGAGGGTAGAACTGGGGAGGATGAGACTGGGCTGAGTGACAAACAGCAAGAGGAAGAGGGATTGAAGGAGGGGCGAGTGGCAGAAGAGGCGGAGCAGGTTGGGGGAGGGGAATTTAAGCCTGGGGATGGAGAAGGGAAGGAGGTAGACGAGAAAGTGGAGGAGGGGGAGGAGGGAGCAGAGAGGAGGAAGGGAGGGGATGTCAGTCCTGAGAAATCTCAGAAGGAAGGGGAGGAGGAGGAAGAGGAGGAGAGGAGGAAGGGAGGGGATGTGTTGAAGCGAGCAGAGGTGCTGGGTGCGTGGAAGGCGGGGCAGGCCAAGGGAGGGCTGGGTGCTGACCGGCTGGCACTTCTGAGAAAGGCTGCTGTGAGGAGAGGGCTAACACAGAAGTAGATGAGAAAGTGACAAGGCAGGAACCTGCTGGCAAGGAGGCAAGGCTGGGCAGGGCAGGGGATTTGAAGGGAGGGCAGGGCAGGCCAAGGGAGGGCTGGGGGCTGACCGGCTGGCACTTCTGAGAAAGGCTGCTGGGAGGAAAGGACTTTCACAGAAGTAGATGGAGATGAGTGGGTTGCAGCTCAGACCGGTTCTTCTGGTGTTTGAATTATGAAATGCTGCATTTAATCCAGAAAACGTTGCACATGAAGTACCGTAGGACTGGGTGCTTGATGGGGTATGTGCCTAATCAATGGGCCGTATGGAGTAGGCCTTTATTGATGTCATTGGAAGGAAAAACGGAAAGAGAGAAAGAAGGAAGTGCCGCTCGTTGCCCTGTCCACGGACGCGGGCTGGGCCCCACACGTCTAGGTGGAGAGTCTGCAGTGGAGCTATACCTGGGGCTATACCGGGGTCAGGCGGCACACACAAGTAGCAGTCACCCTCAGCACTAACAGTCAATGCATACATGGCAGCAGGAATAGCATCATAGTCAAGATCAAAGATAGGAACACCACGCCTAGACAGGTCTGCCCAGTGGGGAAACTCAGTAGCCCCGGGAAACTTGGCGCGCCATGCATCGCTAAGCCTAGAGAAGCAGCGATACTCAGTGTGAGAGCCGTTGCATGGGCGACCAGTGCGGGGGCCTGTGCGAATGATATAGGGGCAGCGAACAGGACCCCCAGACGCCCCACGCTGAGCATACCAGTCATGAAGCTGCTGAGGGGAAGGGGGGGTCTGCTGCTGATGCTGCTGCTGCTGCTGTGGCGGCTGCTGCTGCTACTGCTGCTGTCCCTGGCCACCAGTGGAGCTCCCCTTCTGGCCAGATCCACTCTAGCCCCCACCGCTGCTGCCACCACTGCTCCCTCCTCCCCCACTACTGTCGCTGCCACCTCCACCGCTCCCATTGCCTCCGCCGCCCCCACCACCACCTCCACCCCCACGACCACCCCCACCACCGCCACCACCCCCACCGCCTCCACCACCGCCCCCTCCACCGCCACCCCTGTTATAGTCACAATAGGCTCCAATGTGCCTAAAATGAAAGATATAGTGCACAGTCGGATTTCTGCACAGCGGCTTCAAACGTTCATAATGTTCTGGTCACAGCTTCAAATGACCTGATTCAACTTGGATCTGGAGCGTCTTAATGTCGCCTACAATAGGCAATTTAGATCGCACGATTTCACCAAGTATTGACGACACAGTGTCGGTTTGAACGAACGGCACTATGGCAGCCACTATAGTCTTAGAACACACAATAGGAAGAGTTAGGAAGAGTTACGAGTTGGGAATGACTCCCAGCTCCTACAAACCCCAAGAGCCGAGGTACAGTGATGTGGAACAGTGCCACACTGTCCCCAACCAAAAAGGGTCTCGAAACTACCCTTCACAAGGGCCTACACCAACTGAAATGTTACACTACACAAAGTAATGTAACTATCTTCAATATCTTGAGGTGTACCCTTTTGGCGAGCTTCGCGATCACTTGAATGTTGACACCAGGGGCTCGGGTTCTTCATCACAAACTCATCCTTGAGTTCTTGATGGGTCTGCTGCACACACCTGCGACACGCCGAACGTTCGACAAGCGACAAAATAGAAACCGCGCACGACAAAATAGAAACCACGCGGGACACACAAAACGACCACGTTACACGCGACTAGCGATAATTCGCTATTGACTTGACACGCACACTCGACATCATGACCCATCATTCACAAAATATTATAAGCATGAAATATATATTTATTTCATGCACTCATTCCATTCCATGCACACACGTATGCACGCACACGGACAACAAGCCGAGTGCAAACCGTAGGGTTGCACCAACAACCCCCACCTCCCCTGCCACCCCTGCCGCCCCTAGCACTGCGACGCTTCCCACTAGGAGCGGAAGCAGCCCCGACCTCCTCAGCACCAAGGTAGTCGAGAGCAGCAGCAGCGGAGGCATAGGAGGGGGCAAGAGGGGCGGGGGAGCACCCCTCAAAGAGGGGAGGGCGAGGAGTGCCACGAGTAGCACCTACAGCGAGAATGTTATTTTCTGCTGCTAGGAGGTGCTTCTCGATGTCGTCGACAGTGAGAGTGGTAGGGTCTAGCGCGAGAAAGTGGTCTCTGATGGAGTGAAGAGTGTCAGGGAGGCGGGTGACTAGGAAGTAGAGAGTAAAGTACATCGGGGGTTGATTCTGGGCGAGGAACTCGTCTGCGAGGGCAGTACGAAAGCGAGCGACGCTAGTGCGCAGATGAGAGATGAGGTCCTCAGCAGTGGTGAACGAGGACAGGTCGGGGAACAGGTAGGGTAGCATAAGGCGACCTATGGCTGCAGTAGCCGGGGAAGAGTAGCGGGCAACTACAGCGTCGTACAGCGCCTTGGCAGTCTTATGCTGGCTAAAATGCGCGCGCTCTGTGATCGGCAGATGATTGCGAATAGCGAGGCGCGCAGCAGCATCGCGGGTCTGCCACTGTGAGCGGTCAAGAGCAGGAGCAGTGTCAGTAGAAGCAACGGCGGTGCCAGACGCGTAATCAAACAGTGAAACCCCGTCCTTAGCATCAGTCAGAAGGAACAGTTGCAGGTCGTCAAGCCAGGTGGACCGTCAAGATCGAACGCGAGCACGTTGAGAGTCGCCATGCTTGCAACTTAGGCAAGACTAGTGCGCAGGCGGCAAGCCAAAAGGCAAGCAAGGAGAGGCTGCGTGCAAGGCTGCAGTGGCGGCGCACGGACTCCTAAGGCAGCACGGAGGGCAGCAGTGGGCCGCGCGTGGGCCCTTAAAGCGGCGCGCGGTGCAGTAGCGGGCCACACGCGGGCTCCTAAGGCGGCGCACGGTGCAGCAGTAGGCCACGCGCTGGCTCCTAAGGCAGCGCGCGGAGCAGCTGCGGGCTGCGCGACCGGCGGAGGCGACGCGCAGGGCAGCAGCGGGCTGCTCGCGGGCGGCGGGCGCGACGCGTGGGGCAGTAGTGGGCTGCACGGGCGGCTGGCGCGATGCGCGGGGCAGCAGCGGGCTGCGCGGGCGGCGGACGCGACGCGCGGGGCAGCAACGGGCTGCGCGGGCGGCAGACGTGATGCGCACGGGGCAGCAGCGGGCTGCGCGGGCGGCTGACGTGGCGCGCGGGGCAGCAGCGGACTGCGCGGGCTGCTAGAGTGGCGCGCGCGGAAAAAAAAAGGGCAGCGCGCACGGGCAGCGCAGCGCAGGCAAGGCAGGGCGCGCGCGTGTGGCGCAGCGCAGACAAGGCAGGTAAGGCAGGTGGGGCAGCCTGGTAACCGAGACGGTCCTACGGACCTACTGCTCTAATGCCATGTTAGAATACTAGGCAGGAATGATTGCACTATGAAAGAGGTGGGTACAAATATGAAACCCTAGAATGGGCTGTACCCCATATTGGCTACCCCACTACAGCCTAAACATATATAGCATATATAATTTGACAATGGACGGCGAGGTGCAGCAACAGGCCAAGGCAGAGCAGCAGGCATACGGCCGCCCGTCCCGCTCCTCCAGTGCCGGCTCCAAGACGAACTTGTTCCTGCAATCACTGCCCTTTTGCAAGATAACAGACGAAGCACAGCCTAAAAAGAAGAATGCTGCTAGGAGAGTCACTAAGGCTACGGCTGCAGGAGGGGCGGAGACCGGGGCTGAGGCGGGTGTGGTGAGTGCAGAGGGGGCGGAGGAGAAGGTGCAAGGGATGGGAGGTACAGCAGCTCGCACGACAGAGCGCAAGGTGAAGCGGAAGGTGTCAATTGCTCAATAGTATTGTTGTACTGTTGATGAATATTATTACAGCATTGCCTGATTTTCTCTATGTTATGGAAATCTAATATGTTTCGTGTGCAATTCAAATCTGGACTGAACTTAACTAAATATTCTCCATAGTATTGAAAAATGCTGAGAAAGTGGCACCAGCGATAATCTTAAACAAGAGAGATAGTTCCATGCACTCGTAAAAGGTACTGCAAGAAATTGCACTACAGCGCAAGCCCGAACCTCATGCAGCGTGCCCCAAAGGGACTACAACAAGTGCAGACTGATGTGAAGGTCAGCAGCAACGCTCAGTGACCTCCCATAAGCAAACATGATAGCCAGGAGACCAAGCCAGCAAGCAGGCACGATTACACACGTGCTCGACGGAATTACCACAAGTGCAGCCCTAAGCCCTGATATTATTAACCTTGATCGGAATGGCCACCTTCACCTTAAAGTGATCGCAAAAGTATGATGTAGAGCTGAAGTACAGGGTATAGTCCTTGGGTCTCCCTTTCACGAAATACCTGAAAGGGAGACAACAGGCAAGTTGGATAGGTAGGTGCAAGAACATTGAATGCAGATAGAAAGTAAAAACAAGCAGACCTATTTCCCCTGTTCACTAGGACGCTCGGGGCAGATGGGTCATATTGTTAAAGAGGTAGCTTGGGTTGTATAAAGCACGGCCTATCATATTAACCAAAGCACTCGCTTAGGATCAAGTGTGGTGCTCACCTGTATGTGCCAGAATTGGCCACGTTTGCCAGCTGCTTAGCCGTCACAGTGTTGCAGGTACGGTACGCCGTGGCCTGGTCATACTGCCACACGCCATGCCTGTGAACCTTACTGAAAGCCCACTTGAACACTGCCATGGGATGCACAGGACAACGGGGGATACAGGATGCACTTTAAGTCAAGGTCTAATGCTTCGGGACGTTGAATCTAGGAGCAACAGCAGAACTGGGCAGAACCACGAGCAAGGGAAGTGGCACGAGCAGCGGCGGGTTTGAGAGGCACGCACCGAGCACGTCGCCTACACGCGCGGGCGGATTGGGCTTCCAGTTCCCCACATTATTCGACCACCCCGTGTTGCCCCCCACCATGATGTCCCGTGCCTGTGCACGCGGGGCAGCATGAATAGAGGGTAGACGGAGGAGTGAGATGCGGAGGAGTGGGATGCGGTGTGGGATGAGAAGCATTATGCGCAATGCGGGGAGGCA